GAGAATCGTCCATACTGTTTTCCAAAAGGGCTGAACCAGTCGGCATTCCCACCATCAGTGAAGGAGAGTCCCTTTCTCACCACATCCATGCCAACACTGGTTGCTTTTGTTATTTTGGATGTGGGCCAGTCTCTGTGGTGTGAGTTGATATCTCATTGTTGTTTTGATCTGCATCTCCCTGATGATTAGTGATGTAGAGCATTTTCTCATGTGCCTTTTAGCCATTAGGATTTCTTCTTTGGGAAAGTTTCTGTTCATTTCATCACCCCATTTTTTGATGGGGTTAGATGTTTTCTTCTTATAGAGTTCAACAAGTGCTTTGTATTAAAGGTTACTTTTATTTTATTTTATTTTTTTGCTTTTTGGGTCACACCTGGCGATGCACAGGAGTCACTCCTGGTTCACGCACTCAAGAATTACTTCTGGCGGTGCTCGGGGGACCATATGGGATGCTGGGAATCGAACCTAGGTTGGCTGCGTGCAAGGCAAACACCCTACCCGCTGTGCTACTGTTCCAGCCCTTAAATATTACTTTTAAAGTAAAGTTTCCAATGAAGTAAAAGAAGTGTGTAGAAAATTGCACATACATTAGTTGTACAGCAGATATATTTTTCTGTAATATAGAATTAACATTTTTTAAAAACTTACTTTATGTAGACAAAAGCCAAAATTGTTGATACAATTCTAGAGTTGAAATTGATTAGATAACAAGGTTCCAATATGAAAATCAATAAGTATTAAAAACATCAATTTTTATATGAAAATTCTTGAATCCAATCACAGGGTTATTAAAGTCCTTGTCTAAGGATTTACTAAACCATTTGTTGCTAGTTAAGCCTTATATTTTTGTTGGTTGAGTTTGGCTGGCTCCTAGGTTATTTTCCCATCTAATTTGATGTGCTCCTACTGGAATTTCAGTATTGAGGAATTAGGAAGTCCAGAGACTTCAGGATCTATGGTGTGGACCAGTGACTTGACATAGTGAACAAAGGCTGTGAGGAGGTAGGAGTGGCTGCTCGGGCATCCTGAGGACAGCGAGTGGAGGGAAGGCTGCCCACCCAACTCCAAGCAGACCCTAGAATTCTAGGCTGGGCACCAGGGTGAATTCTAGTTTGGGTACCAGGGTGAATTCTAAGCCGGGCACCAGGGTACCTAGAATTATTTGTAGTTTGGCATCTCTGCAGAGAATATTCTTTTTTTGGGGGGGGGGGGGGTCATACCCAGCGATGCACAGGGGTTAGTCCTGGCTCATGCACTCAGGAATTACTCCTGGTGGGACTCGGGGGCACCATATGGGATGCTGGAAATCGAACCCGGGTAAGCTGCGTGTAAGGCAAACACCCTACCTGCTGTACTATTGCTCCAGTCCCATCAGCAGAGAATATTCTTAAAGCACTGGAGCTGAGCCCTTGACATGGCTGTAGCAGTGGGGTGTGGGTGCACCCTGCCTCCAAAGAGCCTGCTGGGGTTTTCAGCCATGGGACCTAGGAGTCCATGAATTTTAGCTACTTGGCCTGCATCTCCTCAAAGATTTAGTCGGGGTAGAACAGGTAGAACAGGTGTAATACAGAATTTTATTTTGAAACTGTTTAAACTAGCAATAACTCTGTCCAGAAATACCAAATGGAAAACAGGTTCTAACATAATTTTAGGGCAACAAAAGTCTGAAAGACCACAAAAGAGAAATAGCACCACTGTTATTTGAACAATGGCTAGTTACGTGCCTTTATTTGAACAATGGCTTGTGACTTGCTCATTTTTTTTTTTAATGTAGGAGTACTGCTATTTATTCAGCCACTGATTAGCTGATTGAATTGGGCATGAACTCCACCTTACTTTTTTTTCATAATCTTATTTATTCTTTTTCTTCTTATATTTATTTATTGAATCACTGTGGGAAAAGCTACAAAGCTTTCAGGTTTAACTCTCAGTCATACAATGATCAGACACCTTTCCCTTCAACAGTACTCATTTTTCACCACCAAGAACCCCCCCAACCCTCCCAATGCCTGTGAGGCAGATGATTTCTACTTAACTCTTCTCTACATTGATTACATTCATCATTTCGACAAAAGATGCACCATTATTGTTTAGAATATTCCCCCCCCCCCAACAATCAGAATTGCTGACAGGGCATTGTGAAATACTTTGTTTTCTATAGCTGGTTATGAGAATCATATAATGTTGTGTGGCCGCAATAGCGGTTGCATGATTTTGGATTTGTTTTTGTTTTTGGCATTGTAAGTCACTGAATCTGGGTTTTCCTCCCAATTCCACACAGAACATACACTGCACAATTTTATCATCAAATATCTGTTTTCTACACACACTTTAGATTTTAGAACAAGCTACCACCAAAGGGCCAGAGCGATAGCATAGAAGGGAAGGGCGTTTGCCTTGTGCGCAGCCCACCCGGGTTCGATTCCTCTGCCCATCTCGGAGAGCCTGGCAAGCTACCAAGAGTATCCCGCCCACAAGGCAGAGCCTGGCAAGCTCCTCGTGGCACATTCGAGATGCCAAAAACAGTAATAACAAGTCTCACAATGGAGACATTAGTGGTGCCCGCTCGACCAAATCGATGAACAACAGGAGGACAGTGCTACAGTGCTACCTCCAAAACCAAATCACAATCTTAGTAGTGGGTCACATTTTGCAGAATTAGCAGATATGTTTTCACAAAATGAAATTATGTATATGGTCAACATCAAGATATAAAGCATTATTAGGGGCTGGAGCAATAGTACAGTGGGTAGGGCATTTGCCTTGCATGCAGCTGACCCTGGTTCGATTCCCAGCATCCCATATGGTCCCCCGAGCACCGCCAGGAGTGATTCCTGAGTGCATGAGCTAGGAGTAAGCATAGCCGGGTGTGACCCCAAAAGCAAAAACAAACAAAGAAAGAAAGAAAGATATAAAGCATTACTGGCCTAGTTGAAGGTTGAAGTCCTTTCAGCCTCAACCTCCTTCCACACATCCTCCCCATGTAACCCCCATTCTGATGTCTATCACCATAATCATTTGTTCTACCTTTGAATTTAAATACTATGCTGGGCATTCCTTTACTCTTTTGTTTAATTTTATTTTGGGGTGTGAGACAGATTGAATTACACTGATGGTGCTCAGGGCTTCTCATGATTCTGTGCTAAGGGAGATGCTTGAGGAACAGTAACAAGTGTTGGTTCTGAAACCGGGGTATGACAAGTGCCTTCTTTCCTGTAGTACTTATTTGGTCCTTTAACATTTAATTTATAAACTTTTTTCAGGATGTTGCATATTTTTCTATAGTTATTTTTCTTGTGGCTATGTGGTATGTACTGTGCGTTCATATGCCACACACTTCATCCCTTCCACTCCTGATAAACATTGAATTACTTCCAAATTTGGGCTTCTAGGAAAATTATTGCTATCTTCTTATAGGCTTTTGATTTTTCCTCCGTGAACTCTTAGAATGTGCATATTAATGAGCTATGTTGTAGTAAAAGAGTGAAGGGAACATAGCTCAAAGTTCTTGCTACGTTGTTTGCATTAGGCCCTGAGTTAGCTGTTCTATACCACCTAGGACTTAACAACTCTGTGATCAGATACAACAATTTTCATAATCCTTAGCATATTCCCCATGGTAATCTCGGTTCTCTTGTCAGAGTTCATGAACTTGTTTACAAGGGCATTCCAATGCTTCTGCTTTGTTTCTTTATACATCTCATATGCCTAAGGTCAACTGGTGTTTGAGATGGCATCTTTCTCTCTCTGGCATCCTTCTCTCTCTGACTTATTTCACTTAGCATGTCATCCACTGGAGCCGGCTGAGTGGTGCTTACAAGGAACGAAGGAATGTACCACTGGCTAACTTAGAGGTAAGTAAGGAATAGATTGATGGAGAACACTGTCACAGGGCAGTGGGCAAGACTGCAGGGTACATGGGCTGGGGACTGTGGGCATCCCTTGGCCTACAGTGCAGGGTGTTGTCAACTCAGTACAGGCTTCATAGTAAACCTTGTTTCTTTTTTGCTTGTCTAAGACCCCTGAGTTTTCCAAGCTAAATGGATGCGGATGTTTTTCACGGCAGGGGGTGTTTTTTTCAGGAACAAAACAAGTCTGTGTTCAGTCAGTCTGCATAAGTGTGAGCAGAATACTACTTTTTAGCCTTTTCTGCATGGTCTACTTCCATTCAAATGGTTGGAGTTCATGGTTGTTTTTTTTTCCTTCTTCTTTTAAAAACTTTTTTAAACTAGATGAGTAGCATTCTCCTGAGTGTGTACTACAACTTCTTTATCTACTCATCTATCATGGGGCATTGGGTTGTTTTCAGATCTTGATTATTGTAAATAGTGGTGAAATAGACATAGTCGTGCATGTATCTTTTTAAATTAATGTTTTTACATTCTTGGGGTAGAATCCTGGGTCAGATTGCTGGTAGTTCTAATTTTTTAAAAAAATCTTATTTTTGGTCACACCCGGTGTTGCTCCTAGTTCTGTACTCAGGAGTCACTCTTGGTAGTGCTCAGAGAATCATATGAGATGTCAGGAATTGAACTTGGGTTATCCTCATACAAAGCTTGCCTACTATACTATCGCTCCAGTTTTTTTCTCTCCTAAGCTTTAATTGTTTAAGAAGCCTCAACATTGTTTTCCACAGACTTAGCATGCTTTACTCTTGTACATTACTTGTACTTTACTCTTGTACAAGTAAAGTAATGTACTTTTTATCCCCTTTGCAAAATCAAGGTCACAAAAACTCTAGCTCAGTAGATACTGAGGCAATCCATACATTTTCTGAACAAACGAGTGAATCAATAATCTCCTTCAGAAAATTGCAATGTCAGGGTGAGTAAGCTAGCTGATTATAATAACAGAAACTTTACATGGGAGGGGCAAAATAAAAGGTGTGGTAATGTGATTTGGCTTATATTTCTCACGCCAAGGGAAAAACTCCGATTCATTGAGCTGCTGCTGTTGTTTTGAGAAACTTTCTGCTACTCCATTCACCTTTGTTCGCTAACATGACAAGCAAGAGGGTAATTGCAGTGTTCGGAGCAACAGGTAAAAAGCATTTTGCTTTTAACTGCATATTGTCTGCTAACTTTCCTGTCTTTCTGTTCTTAACTTCAGAGCCTGCAAGTGTGGGCTGAACAAAAAAACCCTTTGGAGGAAATTAAGAAAAGTGTCTATTCCATTGCTTAAGTTCAGATGTGGTCAGTGGCAATGTGGTCTGACTTCCATCAGATCATCTCATGAAGACAAGGACAATGGACACTGTTCTCTCTTTCTGGGTCATGTGCTGACTTGTTGGTATAAATCTCATATTAATGTAGGCTGTACTTTGGCGGCTTATCTTCACTCACTTTCTTTCTTTTTCTTTTTTTCTTTTTGGGTAACCCAGCAATACTCAGGGGCTACTCCTGGCTTTGCACTCAGGAATTACTCCTGGCGGTGCTCAGGGGACCATATGGGATGCTGGGAATCGAACCCAGGTCGGTCGCATGCAAGGCAAACGCCCTACTGCTGTGCTATCGCTCCAGCCCCTCCACTCACTTTCTAACAAGCAAAAGGAGCAAGTGCGAAAGGCACCCAATTGATTCACAGGCCTGACCAAGACTCCAGCAATTTTGAAAATGATTCTGGGCCAGAGCTACAGTACAGTGGGTAGGGAGTTTGCCTTACACGCGACCAACTGGGGTTCTATCCCTAGCATCACTTATGGTTCCCTGGGCTCCACCAGGAGTGATCCCTGAATGTAGACCTAGGCGTACATCCTCAGCATTGATGGGGGTGCTACCCCCCACTCCCCAAACAGAAAGCAAACAGAAAGAAAAATGGGTCTGAGTAAAAGGTGTTCAGAATGTACTGAAGACTTCTCTCTCACCTGGCCAGTTGTCTATATGTCTTATTATTTGGGGGAGGGGGAAACCTGTACCCGGCAGTACTCCGAGGCTACTTCTAACACAGTGCTTATACTGCAATACTGCAGGTGACTATGTAATATAGAATTTCGGTCTCCCGCAAGCAAAGTGTGCACTTCACCTGTCCAGACCTGCTGACAGGCGCTCCTGCTTCTACTCTTACAATCTTTTTTTTTCTTTTTGGGTCACACCTGGAAATGTACAGGGCTTATTCCTCGCTCTGCACTCAGGAATTACCCCTGACGGTGCTCAGAGGACCATATGGGATGCTGAGAATTGAACCTGGGTTGGCCACATGCAAGGCAAACGCCCTGTCCACTGTGCTATCACTCCAGCCCCTACTCTTACAATTTTCCTTCCAATCTGCTTTCCAACCGCCAGATTCATCTTTGCAACATGGTGGTCAAATCAGATCATTCCCTTTTAGTCTATTCTCATGTCTGTCTCCTAGGGGTCCACTTGAAACTGGGAGATCCTTTCTCTGTTCCACTCAAACCCTCCAACACCCACTTTTCTCTCCATCTCACTCTAAGTAAAACGCAGAGAGTAGCTCATGGCCTGCCAACTCTTTCTCAGACTCTTCTCTTCACCTCATGCTGTGCTCCTCAGACACGGTCCCTAACCCAGGCCTGTGCATTATAGAAAATCACAACTCTATTCCATTCCACTGTTCCAGGATTCCTCTCTGCTACCCCTGGCCAAAAGAGAACATGAGCTCTATGAGGACTAGGAATTTTGTTTTTTCTGAAGGGAGGCAAAGACTAATGCATGGAAAAAGAGAAACAGATTCTCAAAAACCAAGTTAGGTATAAAACTGACTTTATTTCCTGAAGTAGTGTTTTGTAGTTTTCTTTGTATAGGTCTTTTACTTCCTTAGTTAAGCTGATTCCTAGGTACTTGATTTTCTGGGGCACAATTGTGAACGGGATTTTTTTTTCATGTCATTTTCTTCTCTCTCATTATGGACAATTCTCAAAAAATTAGAATTGAGCTCCATTTGACCCAGCAATACCACTCCTGGGAATTTATCCCGGAGAGGCAAAAAAGTACAGTCGAAATGACATCTGCACTTCTATGTTTATTGCTGCACTGTTCACAATAGCCAAAATTTGGAAAAAACCTGAGTCCTGAGAACAGATGACTGGTTAAAGAAACTTTGGTACATCTACACAATGGAATACTACACAGTTGTTAGAAAAGATGAAGTCATGAAATTTACATACAAGTGGTTCTACATGGGAAGTATCATGCTAAGCGAAATGAGCCAGAAAGAGAGGGACAGACATAGAAAGACTGCACTCATCTGGGGAATATAAAGTAACAGAATGGGAGTTGCCCATCCAAAAATAATTGAGATAAGTGCCAGGAGGTCTGCTCCAGGGCTTGAAAGTCGACCTCACATGCTGGGGGAAAAGGCAGTTCAGATAGGGAAGGGAACACTAACTAAAGAATGTTTGGAGGACTTGCTCGAGATGCAAGATATGTGCTGAAAGTAGACTATAAACCGAACACGATGGCCACTCAAAACCTCTATTGCAAACTACAACACCCTAAAAAAAAGAGTGAGCAAAAGGGAATGCCCTGCCACAGAGGTGGGGTGGGTTGGGGGGATGGGTGTGGGGGTGGGAGGGCTACTGGGATCATTGGTGGTGTAGAATGGGCACTGGTAGAGGGATGGGTACTGAAACCCAAGCATGAAAGTTTGTAAGTCTACAACTGTACCTCATGGTGTTTCACTAATATAAAAAATAAAGAAAAAAATTTTTTTATTTTATTTCCAAAAAAAAAAAAAAACCAAACAAACAAAACTGACTTTAAAAAGAAAGGGAGGGGCTGGATCGATAGCACAGTGGGTAGGGTGTTTCCCTTGCACGAGGCCGACCTGGGTTCGATTTCCAGCATTCCATATGGTCCCCCGAGCACTGCCAGGAGTAATTCCTGAGTGCATGAGCCAAGAGTAACCCTGTGCAAAGCCGGGTGTGACCCAAAAGAAAAAAAAAAAAGGAAAGGGAAGAAAAGATAGCAGGACGAGGCATTACTGGGTAAGGCATTAGGGTGACAGAAAATATTTTCCGGAAACTGATAAGAAACTCTTAGAGCTTTGAGTGTAGAAGTGATATGATAGGATTGTGTCCAAGGGTCATTTTAGCTTCTGTTTTTTGAGGGGCCTGTTGGGGGCAGGGGCTGAAGCAGAGAGACCTGTCAGGAGGCTGTTTTTGCTGTAATTTAGGCAAGACGACAGTGGCTTGGACCAGGTGGCAGCAGTAAAGGTGGTGGGGAGTGGTCAGATTTTGGAGTTGTGGAAAGAGAACTGACAGGGTTCGTGGAAAAAACATATATCAGAGGTGGAAAAAAAGAGAACCGAAAAATAACTTCCAGGTGTTGCAATTTGAACAACCTAACAAGAAAATTTTGATTCCCTGAAATGGACAACATAGTGAGGGGAGAAGGCAGAGGAAGGTTAGGAGCTCAGTTTGAGTCTCATTAAACTGAAATTGCTACTAACACATCCAAAGCCAGCAGCTGAATATGAACCTTGGGAGTAGCTCCAAAAGGAATTGATTAGATGTGTCAGAGTGGAGGAAAGTTGATTTCTAGCTAGTCAAGGGTGTGGGCCCAGTTCTGATTCCTATTATGTAATCTTGACTTACCAGTATGTTTAACGTTTGGTTGCCAGGTTTAGTATTTATATACAAAACACCTAGTTTAATTTGAGTTTCTGGCAATGAATAATTTTTTAGATATTTCAATTACTGAATAGAACATACTTATACTAATATGTGTTGACTCTTAATTTGAAATTCAAAATTAACTGTACATCATGTAATTTATTGGGCAACCTGGTGTAAGGCTTGGAATGTTGGTATTCGTACAGTGTCTATTGTTAGCAGAAAGAAAGGAGGGAGGGACCAGATAATCAAGGACTCTGGTTGGGACCTCATTTACATATGTGATATATTGACAGTGTGCTATATCGGTAGTCTCACAAGCCCTGATTTACATAGCAAGTAACCAATCAGCTGATACTGATTGGTTACTTGCTATGTAAGGGGGAGGGATACAGTAATACAGAAAAGCTTAGATCAATCAGTATACAAGGGGCTGCAGTTGTGGTTGGGGAACAACTACTATTGTTGCTGATCCCATTAAAAAATCATCTCGCTGAGATACACCTATATGTGCTGTAAATAGAGTTGTAACGCTGAAGACATCTGGGGATTGGTATGTTATTCTTAGTCCACCCAAAAGAACCTGAAATTAGCCAGATTATCCGTAACACTATTACTGTTGCTGATTTCCTAGAAGGCTGGAAGTTCCCCAAGCACTGGTACAGGCTTAGGCAATCTGTTCTATGCACATTCCTAACCACGGTCTCTGTTCAAATCTGTGGGGCAAGCTGGGTTCATAAGAGTTTCTGTGGGATGCCAGACACAGCTCTACTTGCTTTATACACATTATTTCCTCAAGGGAGGAGGCTTGATTACAAGCTCTGTATTACAGACGGGGGACAAATTTGTCTAAGGTCATCTAAGTCAGATTGCTTAAGAGGAAAGATAATGGGGCTTCTGATCAGCAGCCAAGTATGATACTGATCTTAAATCAGTATATTCTGACATGTAGTAGTTGTGTTGCCTTAAAATTACTTATGTTTTCTGAGTCTTGGGTCCTTGTTTATAAATTAGAGAATCAAGTGCAAATAAAGGATTATTATGAGTATAGAGAAGAGACCACTATGACAATGACAGTTAAAGATGATCACTCTGGATAAGAATTGAGTGCTGTAAAAAAAGCACACAAGGATCAACCTTTAACAACATGTTAGTGGTCTCTTATAGAAGTGCTTAACGGTCCCTCGGTGAAATACAACAATCTTCACACTCTTTCCTCTAAGGATACTCTTTTGTACCATTTTCAGCTCTTTTTCATAATAAACAATGCAAAATACATTTTTTCAGTTCTGCTTTGGGGCAGGGATTGGGGTTCGGGATGAAAACACTCAGAATATGGTGATGGGAAGGTGTAATCGTGGTGGGATTGGTATTTAAATATTAAATGTAATCAAATATTGTGAACTACTTTATAAAATAAAAAATTTAAAAAATAACAACGTTTTTAAAAAATAATTGATTAAAAAAAAAGAATTAAGTGCTGAAGTAGGTAAAGTGATATACATGATAACCTTACAGTATCTGTCCCACCAATCACAAAACCATAATGACCAAAAGGAAAGAGAGAGAGAGAGAGAGAGAGAGAGAGAGAGAGAGAGAGAGAGAGAAAGAGAGAGAGAGAAGAAAAGTGTCTACCATAGAGGCAGACTGGGGGTAAGGGCAAGAACAATGGAAGTTGGGAACATTGGTGGTGAGAAATGTACTCTGGTGAAGGGACGGATGTTGGAACATTATATGACTGAAACCCAATCATGAACAGATTTCTAACTGTTTATCTCATGTTGATTTAGCAAAAGAAGTTTTAAAGGGTTATTATGAGAATTGAGATAAAGTAAAGTGCCAACATCAACGCCCAATATTTGCTAAGAATTGACTCATGACTGAAAGACAAAAAATGCTCATGAAAAAAGTTTGAAATGTATTCATCTCTAGAACATTATTTTGTAGAAAGTATCTTTTCATGGTCTTTTAAGACCAACAAATACAATATCTAAACAAGAAAAGTATGAAAATCTTATTCTATGCCCACATGTATTAACATGGGTTCTCCAGAGAGACAGAGGCAATGAGAAGTAGAATATATATATTTTCAAGAGGGTTATTATAAGGTATTGACTTACACAGTTATGGAGGCTGAGAAGTCTGAAGACTGGCAGTTGGAAAACTTTGCTGTTTCCAGGACTCAGGAGAGTAGATGGTGGAGCTCCAGTCTGGGTTAGAAAGTTTGGGAACCAGGAAAGCTGCTGGTTATGTTCTAGTCTGAAGGCTGCCAGGCACAAGGCCAACGATGAGCCAGAGGATCAGTTTAACTTAAAAGGCAGAAAAAAAGTCAATGTTCTAGTACCAAGACAATTAGATAGAGAGGAGTTCTTTCTTCTTGGAAGGGTCAGTCTTTTTGTTTTATCAAACCTTCAATCGATGGTATGAAACCCACCACCTTTGGGGGAGCACTCTGCTTTGCCTGGTCTACCAATTCAAATGGCTGTTAGTAAATTCAGAATTCTTAAAATCCAGAATATTTTCTTTTTCTTAGTACCGCTTTTTTTTTCTGCTAGTCTTTCATTCTGAATCTTCCTGATTTTTTTCTCTTCAATATCTTTTTATCTTATATATTAATTCTGATTCTGGGAGCGTTCTTTTACTAATGAGAATTTATGTCTGCTGTAATTTTTTTTTAAATTTGAGACCTCTTTTATGTTTTTTGAATGCTCTTTTTTTCTATCTTCTGACTTTCTCCCTCTTTTTATTGGAATAGTAAGCAGATGTATTATTCTGTATACAATTATTCTCCGAGGCTAGTCATTCTTTTAATTTTGTCTTCTGTTCCCTGTATTGTTGCTGTTTCCTTTTCTTGGCTGGTTGGTTTTGATTTTGGTTTTCACATTGGAGGCTTCCGTCAAACATCTGGTGACTTCTGGCTATCTGTTCATACTTTCTATTTTCCTAAGTGTTTGGCTGAAGTTTTGTGTACAAAAGCAGAGCTCATTTAATGACAAGCCCTATAATCAGTGGTGTATCAACTTGGCGCTCACAGAAAATCTCACAAAGATGAACTGGGGGAAAAGTGACATGAGGGATAACTAAGCAACAGAAGAAGGAGCAAAGGGTAGAAAATACTAATGATCAAAACTTGAGGCAAGTAACATTCTGAAGAGGGCTTCTTCTGCTGGTGCCCGATTCAACCTGAGAATAAGAGAGGCCATAGACGGAGTCCAGACAAGCGAGCTTCCCAGGGCGCTAAGCAGGGCTGGAGAGGCAAGCGTGGACTTTCTCTCCCTTTCATCCTGGACTGGCGACCTTACGAAGAAGCCCCAGATGTCAGTAACTCCGCATGTGTCATGAACTCCAGGGCATTCTGCAAATATTTACAGAATGCCCACTTTAGGCAAGATGTGATCATATCACACATGATCTTGAATAAATTTAAAGCAAAATTTTAACCTCCAATATAAATAGGGACCTCTTTGAAAAGATGGTTGCGTGAAGAACATCAAAATCAAATCTATAACCGGGAAATATTAGAAATTTCCAGTAGAATCTGGGGGATGGGGAGGGGGGATGACCTGGCAGCCGAGCCCCACAGCCTCTCCCCTTCATCCCCAGGGTTTCTGCAAAGGAATCTCCTAGTGGGCTTTGACATGCCTAATTTGAAAGCCCTTGTCCCAAGTCATGGGGATAGTCTGTGGTTACCTCAGAGGCTGTGCTGTGAAAAAACAGGAGTTTCTATTCAATTTCTTGTCATGACCATTCTGCCTCATCCTGCTTATGTACTTTTCTTTCCCAATTCTATAGGTGCTCAGGGTGGTTCTGTGGCCAGGGCCATCCTGGAGAGTAAAAGTTTCACTGTCAGAGCCCTGACCCGGGATGTGACGAGCGCAAAGGCACTGGCGCTCCAGAACCTTGGTGCCGAGGTGGTCCAAGGGGATCTGAATGATGAAGCATCTGTGGAAGCTGCCTTGCGCGGTGCCTATGGGGCCTTTGTGGTGACAAACTTCTGGGAACATCACAGCAAAGAGAAGGAAGTCTGTCAGGTGGGATGCGCCTTTGAACCCTTTCCTCTTATTCACCCTGGCTAGTTGCCCTCCTTGGCAGGTGGCTGGTCTTCTTCCTTACTCCACCATACCTCTTGGTGCTGACAGAATGTAGATATCCTTGTCTGAGGGGCTTAGATTATGAAATCAATGCTATTTTGCAACTTCCATGTAAATTTCAAGACTTTGAATATTATGGGGCTGGAGAAATACTATGGGGCTGGAGAAATACAGTGAGTACACTTGCCTTGCACACAACTGACCTAGGTTCAATCAGGGACTATATGGTCCTCTGATCATTGCTCGGAATAATTTCTGAGTGCTGAGCCAGAAGTAGTCCCTGAACATGGCCAGGTGTGGCCCCCAAACAAATTAACAACAACAACAACAACAAAAACCTTTGTACACTTATAAGTGACCTTACACTGGGGTCAGTTGTTGGATTCTTGACATCATTTGTTTGCAGATGGCAGTATTGGGGTGATAATAAAAATAACCTACACATTAGGGTTACTCTGAGGATGAAATGAGAAGAGCAAAAATGAATTAAGAATATTAATACTTCTTGCAGAGAATTTGGAGGTGAATTGGTAATGGGTACACAGGAAAAAAAGAAAGAAATTGGCAAATATATCACAATTTTCAAAAGTTTGCCGAAAAAGGGAATGTAATCTCTGTGCACTACCCTGGTGGTGGCTGCTGCTGCTGCTGCTTCTGCTTCTTCTTCTTCTTCTTCTTCTTCTTCTATTTTTATTTGTTTGTTTGTTTGCTTTTTGGGTCACACCTGGTGGTGCTCAGGGGTTACTCCTGGCTTTGCACTCAGGAATTACTCCTGGTGGTGCTCAGGGGACCATATGGGATGCTGGGATTTGAACGTGGGTTGGCTGCGTGCAAGGCAAACGCCCTACCCACTGTGCTATCACTCCAGCCCCTACCCTGGTGGTTTCTTACACACCAGATCCACTGGGCATGGGTGCTCAAGGAGTTCTTTTCCTGAGGACATTAAGGAAAGAAGGGGCCGGGCATGGGTGCTCAAGGAATCCTTTCTCTGAGGACATTAAGGAAAGAAGGGGTGATAAGAAGTCACTGTCTGCCCCTGGTCTGTATACAAACCCAGTGGAATAGAATAAGAACGTAATGAGGGGCTGGAAAGACGGTAAAGCCTGTCAAATGTTTGCCACACACGGTTGACTTGGCTTTGATCCCCAGTACCCCAGATGGTCCCCTGAGCATCACCAGAAGTGAGTCCTGAGGTAGGAGTAAGCCCTGAGCGTCACTACGAAGTGGCCCAGAAACCAAAACGAAACAGAATGTGGTCAACCCCTTAGGGAAAGATGGTGGCGGATGCAGCCAAGCGCCTGCGTCTGAAGCACGTGATATACAGCGGCCTAGAGAACGTCAAGCGCCTAAGTGGAGGCAAGCTGGAGGTGCCGCACTTCGACGGGAAGGGAGAAGTGGAAGAGTATTTCTGGTCCATTGGCGTTCCCATGACCAGTGTCCGATTGTCAGCATATTTCGAGAACTTTCTCACTCTGTGGAAGCCCGTGAAGGCCTCTGATGGAGACTACTATACCTTGGGTAAGTGGAAGTTAGCGTCCAAGTTAACCGGACACCCTCTGTCTCCTGCCCGGCGCCCCCTTCCCCCTTCCCCTTCCCTTTTCTCTTCGGTGGACACGTGACTTTTGAGTGTCTTCCACGTGTTTGGCTCGGTGTGAAGTGCCAGAAGCAGATCCAGTTGCACTAGAGAGAGCAGAGAACTGGGCTGTGGGCCTGGAGCCGGGGTAATATACTGCCAGGCCTTCCATGCTGAGCCTTCCTAGAGAAGCAGGTCTCAGTGGAGCCTCTGTTTCCTTGTGTTTCTTAAGAAAATTGGACAGGGTAGCTTTCAAGTCCCATTTGAGAACTCACCCATTTGACTTTTGGTAGGCACAGGGAGACAATCTCCTCTTGAGTAGGATAAACATGGTCGGATTCAAGTCTCCCTGCTGCCCACCCATTCTCATTCTGGTTGTATGGAGCAGAACTTGGAAGAACAGAGTTCGCGCCCAACCTTGAGGAGGGGAGTGTAGGCCACCCACTGGACCCAAGTAGCACCCCAATACCAGGCTTACCATTAAACTGGTTACCTGGTTGACTGAGTATTACTGGAACGGTTCCACACATTCTGAGCTCTGCTTAAAGACTTAGCACTGTAGCACTGTCCTCCCATTGTTTATCGATTTGCTCGAGTGGGCACCAGTAACATCTCCATTATGAGACTTGTTGTTACTGTTTTTGACATATCAAAAATGCCACAGGGAGCTTGCCAGGCTCTTCCATGTGGGTAGGATACTCTCGGTAGCTTGCAGGGCTCTCCAAGAGGTACAGAGGAATCGAAACCGGGTTGGCTACGTGCAAGGCAAACGCCCTACCCGCTATGCTATCGCTTCAGCCCTTTTGCTTAAAGACTTAAAAAAAAAAAAAGCAGAGTTGGGCAGGGGTTAAGGCATTTACCTTGCTTGTGGCCAACCACAGTTCAATCCCCAGCACCACATGTGGTCCCCCAGCACTGCCAGGAGTGATCCTTAATGGAGCAGGTCTAAGCCCTGAATATCATTGGGTGTGACACAAAACCCCCTCTACTCTCCTCAATGAGAACATAAGAGGCCATTTGGGTTCCAGGCCCAGCCTTCTGGGATTCTTAGAATCTAGGAGAGGCTCCTCACACTGGAGTGGCAGATGAGGGTTTGAACCCACTTCTACTACTCATTAAATATTTGCAGCCCACCAAGTACCAGTCACTTAAGGAGGATTCGCAATGAATGGATCAAAAATGGACTAACTAAAAGTGCAGGAGAGGTAGTATAATGGGTAAGGCCTTGCATGCAGCCAACAGCCAACAAGGCCTAGGTTTGATCTCTAAGCCCCACAGGACTGGTCCTAAGCACAGAGCCAGGAGTAAACCCTGAGCACTGCTGGGTGTGGCCCCCAAACCAATGAAACAAACAAAGACAAAACTGCCATCACGAAGTTTTACTCTAGTGGAGGAAATAGATAAAACATAATGGATAATTATATTATAATAGCTATAATACAATTTAATAACAGATGCATTATTACTCCAATACATTGGAGATGATATGTGGGCAGGGCAAGGTATCCATAAAGACCTAGTGGTAACTGAATGTGAAATTGAAAAAGATGATTAATAAAGCTCTTTAAGAAGCTGACATCTGAGTACCTATTCAAAGAAGTGAGTCTTGTCTTTTGTGTATATTCAGGAGGAAAGTGTTCAGGGAAGAAGGGAAGTGTGGGTGGAACAGAGCATGTGTGGGGGTAGGGGGAGGGTTGGAGCTGACAGAAGGTTGGAGGCTGTCGGGGGATGTTCTAGTCCTCCAGGAGTCATTCACTTTTCTTCTGAGATTCCTGGGAGGGCTCTGGGCAGACATGACATAAACAGATTTTAGTTTTACAGAACTCCTCTGATTCCTGTGCAGAGAGAGGTGATAGGGGATGGAGAGAGCAAGGATATGGAGAACAATAATTCTAGTCAAACATCATAGTGTGCTTTTTGCCCTCTCATGAATTACATGTACTCTCTTGAACATCTCTCTCTTTCTCTCTTCTCTTTTCTCTCTCTCTCTCTCTCTCTCTCTCTCTCTCTCTCTCTCTCTCTCTCTCTCGTTTGCCTCTCACATTTCTCTAAACTTTTATTTTTGTTCCTTGGGCCATACCCAGGGATGCTCATGGGTTACTCCTGGTTCTGCACACAGGAATTACTCCTGGTGGGCTCAGCTGACCATATGGGATGCTGGGGATTGAACCCATGTCAGTTGCATGCAAGGCAAGCATGCCACTCATTATACTATCCTTTGGCCTCATTTAAATAATTTTTTTTTGCTTTTTTGGGTCATACCCGGCGATGCACAGGGGTTACTCCTGGCTCTGCACCCAGGAGTTACTCCTGGCGGTGCTCAGGGGACCATATGGGATGCTGGGAATCAAACCCGGGTAGGCCGCGTGCAAGGTAAATGCCCTACCCGCTGTGCTATCTCTCCAGCCCCTCATTTAAATAAATTTTAAATAAAACTATTTTTCTTCACTAAAATACAACACAACACAAAACAAAACATCATGGTGACTTGGATAAAGGTAGATGCAGTGAAGAGGGAGAGATTTGGCATATTCTGAACTATGACTAGGACTTTTCCAAAAATAGGATATAGGGTATGAGAGAAGCGTGAAGGAAGGCTGACTCCAAGATTTTATATTTAAACTGGAATGATAGAGTTGCAGAAAAGTGGGATAAGGAAGTTGGTGGGCGAAGTATGTGTCAGGGCATAAAAATTTAGTTTGGCGCACATTGAGTATAAAATATCAATCTTAATTAATTTTTGGGAGAGGCCACGTCTGTCGGTGTTTAGGGCTCACTCCTGGCTCTGAGCTCTGGGATCACTCTGGGAAGGTACTGGGAACCATATGGAGTGGTGGGGTTTGAACCTGGCTCAGTCGTGTGCAAGGCAAATACCCTACTCACTGTGCTGTCTCTCTGGCCCTGAGTATAAAATGTCCATTAAGTAGTCAAGTAAGGATGTTCAATAGCTAGTTGGACATAGGAGTATGGAATTAAGCAAACATGTTGGGGATAAAGATATAATTCATCATACCTTGCCCATAGCAGATGCTTTGTAAATATCTTTCCTCTTTTTATTTTATTTTTATAATTAATTAATTAATTTTTAATTTTGGGGCCACACACCAGGTCTTTATCCTGACTCTGCACACAGGAATTACTCCTGGCTTGCTCTGGGGAACATAAGGAGTGCCGGGGATCAAATCTCGATCGGAGATGTGCGAAGTAAATGCCCTACCCACTATTCTATTCCTCTGGTCCCCTCCTCATTTTCTTTTTAAATCAATTATTGTGGCTTTTATTATTTTTTAACAAAGTCTTATTTTTAATTTTTTTAAGGAGTTTGTTTTTTGGCCACATCCAATAGTGCTCAGGGGTTACTCTTTGCTCTACACTCAGAAATTACTCCTGGTAGTGCTTAGGGGACTGTATGGAGTGACAGGGATTGAACCCAGGTCAGCTATATGCAAGACAAATGCCCTACCTGCTATACTATCTCTTCTGCCTCTCAGTCTTATAGCTGTGCATAGACAGTTATCATATGAAAGTGTTTTCACCGTGTTCCCTTGCCTTTTAAGTGGTTGATTAATAAAGGTTGGTGGGACCTACCAAGAACATGATGGAATTCATATTTTTATCTTTTCTTAATCTAGCACTACCTATGGGGGACACCCCGATGGATGGCATCTCTGTTGCAGACATTGGAGCAGCTGTCCTCAGCATCTTTAGTTTTCCAGAGAAGCTCCTTGGAAAGGCCGTGGGTCTCAGTGCAGAAGCACTGACTGTACAGCAATATGCTGACCTTTTCTCCAAGAGTCTGGGGAAAGAAGTCAGGGATGCAAAGGTGAGTTTTCCATCCTTCATGGGCAACTGTGATCATGGAGGCAACCTTGGTTCACAAGGCACATACAGTTCTGATAGATTTTCAGTGGATTGAGGCAAGGTTGAGCTTAGACCCTCAGAAGTTAAGGAAGATATCAGTTCCAAAAATCTATCTTCAGTCTTTGAATTCTATCTACCTTCAAGCTTTATTTCTTTGGCTTAAAGTATCGCCATGCTAAAGTCAATGACTTAGAATCTGAAGATACAACTTTTCCCCCTCTTTCTCCCTTTATGGGCTGGAACGATAGCATAGCGGGTAGGGCGTTTTCCCTGCATGCAGTCGACCTGGGTTTGATTTCTCCGCCCCTCTCGGAGAGCCCGGCAAAGCTACCGAGAGTATTCTGCCCTCACGGCAAAGCCTGGCAAGCTCCCCGTGACGTGTTCAATATGCCAACAAGTCTCACAATGGAGATGTTATGGTGCCCGCTCGAACATGTGTGCATGTGTGCCTGTGTGGGTGTGGGTGTATGTATGTGTGCCTATGTGGGTGTGTGTCTGTATGTGTTGGTCTGTGCCTCTTCCCAGAGAGAACTAGGTAGAAAGTGTTTTGGATGGCTCAAGAACTTCAAACCTCTCTCAGTTACATACCTGGTCTTGGATTATTGGTCATAGCGCAGGAGAAATACCTGTTGCCCCAGTGTTTCTAGGGCCTTGGAGACAGGTGACCATATGGTTTGTCTATTTATTCAGATCTATAAAACAGTTAACGCTGTTTTTAGTAACTGGTTCATTTGAGTAGGAAAATGCTTAGGTCCTCTACCTGCCTGGGGAAGGACGTGTCAGTCACCAGGTGGCGCTCTAGTCTCTATATTTAATATCCCCAGGAACTGTGCGGGAAAGCTGATCAGATAGAGGGATGCAGATAGAGGGATCCAGATCCATCCTACCTAAACATTTGGGGAAAGAACAATTCTTCTTCAGACTCTTTTCATTGTTGTATAGGGAACAGCCCACACATACATTCAGCTGGATGTATTCAAACACATCAATGTCACTGCAGAAAAATGTATTTCCAGCAAACGGGATAGTTAAAGCCCATGTATGTTCATGTATGTTCAGATGAAACTTCAGTTGCGAAGTTATTTGTGAAACAAACTTTAAAGCCTCTTGAGTTTGGGACTCTGGCAAAAGGATTGTGGGTGTGTAATTAACGTGAGTAATGTATTTTCAAACGATCAAACTGGATGCTATAACATTGCCTGTCTTCTTTCTTGTTCTTCAAAGATCTCCCCAGAAGCTTACGAGAAGCTGGGGTTTCCAGCAGCCAAGGAAATAGCCAACATGTGTCGTTTCTATCAAATGCGGCCAGATCGTGACGTCAAACTCACCTACTGCCTAAACCCCAACGTCAGAAGCTTCAGCCAGTTTCTTGAAGAGAACCAGGGGGCCTTGCAGGGCATTTAGTGTCCACAGAGGCCCTGACTGCATCCACCTTCCTTGGTTCTGGGCCCCTTCACCTCCTGGCGTCTACACTAGAAAACAGATGTATTATGGTGCAAATCTGGCAACACTGTGACTTTCCCATTTAGAGGGAAAACCTGCAGTCTTCATGGGTCATGGTAATCCGTGTGAGTCACAGGGAGCTTTCCAGCTAATGATGAAGACAGGATGTCTGCTTGGCTCAGTAAGCGCCACCAACTTAAGCACTTCTTGTGGCTCCTCGTCTACAACAGCCAAATTGCTTCCCAAAGCCCTGCCACTGGGAAGCTTGTGGTTCTGGGTGTCCTGACAAAAAAAGGGGTGTGGGTTCAGAGCAATAGTACAGTGGGTCGGGCATTTGTCACCAGGTGCTGGTGACTCAAAAAGCAAAAAAAAAAATTGGGGGTGCTACTCAGCTTTCTCCTGCATTAGCGATCTGGAATCCTCACTCAGAATCTTCCCTGGGCAGCTCTGGGTTTTGCACATGCGTTGTCACTGTCACTGTCACTGTCACTGTCCTCCTGTTGTTTATCGATTTGCTCGAGTGGACCCAGTAACATTGTGACACTTGTTACTGTGTTTGGCATATCGAATACTCATGGGGAGCTTGCCAGGCTTTGCCGTGTGGGCAAGATACTCTTGGTAGCTTGCTGGGCTCTCCGAGAGGAGCGGAGGAATCGAACCTGGATTGGCCCGGTCGGCCTCGTGCAAGGCAAACACCCTACCTGCTGAACTTTTTTTTTTTTTGCCTTTTGGGTTACACCCAGTGATGCACAGGAGTTACTCCTGGCTCTGCACTCAGAAATTACCCCTGGTGGTGCTCAGGAGACCATTATGGGGTGCTGTGACTCGAACTGGGGTGGCCACATGCAAGGCAAATGCCCTACCTGCTGTGCTATTGCTCCAGCCTCAATGAACTTTATTTTTTTGTGTGTTTTTTTAAAATAATTTTTATTAATGAATCACCATGAAGAACAGTTACCAACTTACAAACTTTCTTTTTTTAAAATTAATTAATTTCTAATTTTTTTTTAATAGTGAGACATCATGAGGTGCAGTTGCAGACTTACACATTTTTGTGCTTGGGTTTCAATTATACAATGATCAAACACCCATCCCTCCAACAGTGCACATTTCCCACCACCACGGATCCCAGTATCGCTCCCACCCCCCAGTCCCCATCCCACCCTGCCTCTGTGGCAGGGCATTTCCCTCTCTCTCCTTTTGAGTGCTGTGGTTTGCAAAAGAGGCATTGAGTGGCAATCATGTTTGGTCGATAGTCTACTGTCAGCATGCTTCTCCCATCCTGGGAGGATCCTCCCAACACCCTTTGTTTGGTGTTCCCTTCTCTTTCTGAGCTCCCTTTTCCCCTAACATGTGTGGTTGGCCTCCAGGTCATTGAGTAAAATTCCTGGTACTAATCTCTGCCATTCTTGGGTGTTAGTTTCCTATTTTGTTACTTTATGTTCCCCAGATGAATGCAATCTTTCTATGTCTATCCCTTTCTTTCTGAGTCATTTCACTTAACACGATACTTTCCATGTAGTACCACTTGTATGTAAATTTCATGACTTTGTCTTTTCTAACAGCTACATAGTACTCCATTATGTAAATGTACCAAAGTTTCTTTAACCAGTCATCTGTTCTCAGGCACTCAGGTTTTTTCCAGATTCTGGCTATTGTAAAGAGTGCTGCCATAAACAGACAATTGCAGATGTCACTTCGGCTATACTTTTTCGCCTCTCTAGGATATATTCCCAGGAGTGGTATTGCTGGGTCAAATGGGAGCTCAATTTCTAATTTTTTGAGAATCAACCATACTATTTTCCAAAAGGGCTGAACCAGGCTCTGTGCTCAGGGGTCACTCTGACACTGTTTGGGGGACAATATGCAGTACTGGGGATCAAACCTGGGTCAGCCACTTGCAAGGGAAGTGCCTAAACTCCTGTGTTATCTCTCCAGCCCTTTAAATTTCTTAAAATGCAAATCTTTATAGAGGGCTTTCTGGGAAACATGACATTCAATAAACAAACCCAAGAGTTGGATGTTCTAAACTTTGGTTTTGATCTAAGGCTGGAAGTTCATTCTCTATTCAATAAACCATCTATTGAATTACCACTCAATTACCCGAGTATTCATTCCCCTATTCATCGTTGGTGCATTTCACAAACTTTTACTATTTATTTCATTCTTTTGACTTTGGAGGCACAACTGGTAATGCTCAGGGGTCACTCAAGTGGTGTTTGAGGATTGCACGGTGCCAAGAATCAAACCTGGGCTTCTGTGTGCAAAAGCATGTGCTTAGCAATTGTGCACTTTCCAGCTGAACTTTTTTTTTTTAGCATCAGCACAACTGGTGTGTTAGCGGGACTTTTTCCCCCTCCTATGTACTGTCTTGTTTTTGTTTGTTTTGGGGGCCACATCAGCAGTGCTCAGGGATTACTCCTGGCTCTGGAATCAAGAATTAAACCGGGGGGAAGCACTTTTGGCTGCGCTCAGGGATCACTCCTGGTGGGCCCAGGGGACCATATGGAGCTCTGGAGATCAAACCTAGGTTGGGTGTGTGCACGGTCAGAGCCTTACCTGCTGATTAATCCAGCTTGGAGAAGTCCTTTCTAAGCCAACAGACGCTGATGGAAAACAAGCTGCCTCGTAGGAGCCTAGATTGGATCTCCAGCTCAAGCAACTTATACGCAGGGGGACCTTGGAGATTTGGTCTAAAATGATTCTTTTTTTAACAGTGGACAAGGGATTTCTTAAGCCCTCCCTCCCCACCATCCAGCAATCTCCAAGGCAGTGAGAAAACAGCCTCTTCAGAGTTGCTCAGAGTAGGGGACAGGAAGTGGGAACGGGACAATGACAAACCACCCTCTCTTGTCCAGTCACTGGTTTAGCGGGTACCAGCTGATGAAAAAGATGGCAAGCAGCAGAAACGATCTCTCTAATTCTAGGTGTAGTTCCAGAAACCCAAGCAAGGAAGGAAGGTCATGTTAGAATTCCTTCTCTTTGTATTTTCTCTTCTTCCCCTGTTTATTTAAACATAATGGTTTGCATTCATGATGCATTCGTAAAAGGCATTCAATATCCCAACACCAATCCCACCACCAGTGTGACCTTCTTTCCACCATTGTCTTTATTTTCCCAACGCCGCCCCCCCCCGCCTTAACTTACTTGTTACAACAAAATGGCTAATGCAATTATCAAAAAAAAATCCTCCAGTAAAAGAACATTTTTGAAATTTGTTCTATCTCAGTACAGGAACATTAAGTCCTGGTCTGAGGATTTCCCAAGCCGTTGTTGCTAGTTGAGCCTTCCTTCTGTATTAATGTTTTTGTTTATTGAGCTTCTATGTTATCTTCCCATCTAATCTGGCTGGCTCCCACTGAATGTCAGTGGTGTAGAATTTGGAGGTGCCTGGAGCATTCGTGACTGTGCAATCCAGAAATGCAGAATATTTAACTGAAACTTGGGTTTACATAGCAGTGGTTATGGGATGTGAGTGTGGCTTCCGGAAGTACAAGTAAGGAAGTGGGGGGAAGCACCTCGCCCCCACTTGGACAAGGCCCCCGAGTTCTCAGCCTTGAAGACAGGTGTACCTGAAGTTTTCAGCACTTCGGCGTCTCTGCAGAAAGTCATCAGGATGCAGAGGAGTCCGGCAGTTGGCATGGCGGCAGCTGTGGGGATGTGAGTGCAGCTGTCCAGACCTCAGCAGGGAGGTGACCTGGCCCACCCCCTCCTACGGGCACCCCAGAGTTTTCAAGCCAAGAGACCAGTATGCCTGTGGACTTTTGTGGCTCATTGATCTCTTCCGATATTCAGTTGTGAGTCTGTAATGGGCCATACATAAGCTTGCTTGGTGGCGATTGTAGATTGTGATGAGATGTGGGTGTTCTAGAATTCATTCATTCATTCATTTTTTTTTTTTGGTTTCTTTCTTTCTTTCTTTCTTTCTTTCTTTCTTTCTTTCTTTTTTTTTTGCTACAGCTGGCAATACTCAGGGGTTACTCCTGCCTCCATGCTCAGGAATCACTTCTGATGGTGCTTGGGGCATCAAATGGGATGTGGGAGGCCGAACCCAGGTCAGCTACATGCGAGGCAAACACAGTACCTGCTGTAATATTGCTCAGGCCCCAATAATTCATTCTTGTCTTACCCCTGACTAGTCCTGAGAAGTCCTGAGAAGCCAGGGCAAGTTACTTGACTTGTCTGGGCTTGAGTTTTTCCAGGCTCCAGAGATTGCAAGTGAGAAAACTGGCTCTGGACAGATTGGGCAGCTAGCTAGTAAGTGCTCAGTACACAGTAGCTGTCATTGTACTGAGCGATTCCTACCTTTGCCCTCTTAGCACCGCATCTAAGTTCCGAGATGCCTGCTGGGCCCCTTTTCCTGGCACTAGGTCCTGGTATCCTGATTTTGCTCTGCTGGGATTGGGGCTGGGGGTGCTCTGCTGGGATTGGGGCTGGGGGGGGGGGGTGGAGGAGTGCTGGGTGGGTGGGTGGGTGGGTGGGGGGAGGAGTCTCGTCCCTGCCCAACTCCCTCACCCACCACTAGATGGCAGGGCAAGTCCAGCTTGAGAAAGGGCTACTCCACCCTTACCCCAGGTGAATTTCGGGCTTGGAGGTGGGATTCATGGGGGTAACAAGGCTCACAGACCCGGACATGTGACAGCCCTACAGGCTTCCTCAGTCACCTTCCACGGTCATTTCCACATTTCAGCAAGACTCCTTAGGTATCTTCCTGCACCTGGCACTTGAGGATTAAGCGTCTTGCAGGTGCCTGATGAGGGATGGAGAGCAGGAGAGGAGGCAGCTCATTAGCCACAGGGAAGACGCCCACCCCACGGAGATCCAGCAGCTGCTTCCCCAGCCCCCCTCTCTCCCACCTCAACGCTGACGTGCCATCAAGATGCACAGAGGTTGGGGGCCGGAGCGACAGTACAGCTGGTAGGGTGCATCTTGCCTTGCTTGTGACCACCACCAATGCACGTTCAATCCCAGGCACCCCAGATGGTCCCCCGAGCTGTGGTACCAGGAGTGATTCCAGAGCCCAGAGCCAGGAGTAAGCCCTGAGCACTGCCAGGTGTGACCCCCCACCCCACAAAAGAAAGAGACAGAGGCACAGACCACTTCCCATAAGGAACTGGGGGCTCTGTTAGTTTGCCCCCGCAGTGTGGCCAGCTCCTGAGTTCCTCGAAGAATCAACAGGGAGGCGCCACCAGCTTTCAGTCCCAAGTATCAGTGGGGCTTCCTGAAAGGTGACTCCTCTGTTGCAAGAGACTTAAAGATGTGCATCCCCTCGACCAGGCATGACTACTTCTAGAAA